TATTTGTGATGCATGAGTTTTACTAAACAACCAATCAACTATTCATTATATATGATTCAAATTAGGTACATATTATTTTAGTTTATAAAACAGGTATTAATATGACTCATTTCTGGAGAAGTATATACAATTTAAATTACCTCTAAGAATCAGTAAATATACAAAACAAAGAGTTAAATTGTAAACGTTAAATAAATAATTCAAGATATTGAGCAAAGTATTTTTGAATTAAGTTTTATTATTATAATTATATCATTATTACAATAGAGGCCTTCTTAAACGACCTCCATATAGAATAAAGGAAATTATATTTGAAAAAATAAATAAAAATTTAAAAAAAAATTTTTTGTTTAAATGTTATAAAAGTTTTTTAATTTTTTCTTGACAATTAATTAATTGCATTAATATTTGTTCGTAAATAAAATCAATGTAATGTACCAAAACATTATTATATCACTTTAACTAAGCCATTTATGTGTACTGAATGGTGTGGTAGAGGCCTGAAGGCAACCACGCCAGCACCGCTTTTCTGCCGCTTAAGTGTATTTTCTACGGAACAGCTTAAATTTTTTTTAAAATAATCAGCGTTTTAGAAAGAGAAATATATTCTCCAGACGTTTTATTTCAGCACGTTTTGCGTTATTGTAGGCCATTTAATTACAAACGACGCTTGATTTGTAACTTGAAAATTGTTTTGTTAAAACAGTTGACTTTACTGGTGTTTTTCGTAGTCTAAGCCAATTATTTTTAAATATTTCTTCACGTTTTATTATTCTATGACTATTCAGCTTTAATAAAAGACCAACTATGAGGAAATTAAGCCAAATGCTCATTCTCAGTGTCCAAAAAACTAACTAAAGTCAAAGTCATCAATCTTTGGACGCCATTTTTGGGCAGTGCGTTCACTTTTTTTTGTGGGAACATTGGTTTTTTTTAGTAAATAGTTACAAGGAACACAACGATATGCAATTTATAAGGATGGGGGGGGGGGAGTGCACGGTAAGCGGGTCTGGCCCACCGTGTAAATGGAAATATTTTCACACAACCCTATTAAAGAATACTATAATTTATTTAAAAAAATGTATTTATCAAAAAAAAAACAGATTTAATATATATATCATTTTATTTCATATATAGTAGTATATTCATCCTTTTACAATATGTTATGTTAATTATGTTACAATGTATTATGTTAATTATCACTTGTAATGTCTGTATGTAATATAAATTCCCGAGCCTTTGTATTTACACAAGTAAAAATGAATACGGCAGTATTCACGTTTATTAAAATGAATATGCTTAAATTTGCATAAATATATATTTATTAAATTATTTATATTAAAAAATATATTTACTATATCTCCCATTTTATTTTTATCTATAGTATTATATTCTTATTTTTACAATGCATTATGGTTATTATCACTCGGACTGACTGTACGTAATATAAATTCTAAAGCATTTTTTTTTTTGGGTTTATAGCCCCGCCCCACCCTCTCCCGTACCTGAATGGAAAGGACGTAGAGCAATTATCGTAGACGTACAGGCTTTTCGGTACGCTGTTTACTAATTTTTTTTTTTAAATGACTATATATACCATTTTATATTTATATATAGTGTTATATTCTTCGGGCATCGCCTTCTTCCCTCTCCCCAATAAAAATTCTGAGGAGGTGAGAATATTGGAATTTCTTGAAGAGTAACTCGTGAAAAAACTCACGAAAATCAAAATAAAACTTGAAAATCAAAATCCCTATCATCCAGATTACAAGAGCCTGTTAAACAAGCAGACTCAGTTTCGCTTTTAACTTCATACATTGTTCTACATGCAAAACTTAACACATTAACAAATATATTCACAAATTACACACTGAACGGCAGGTCTTTTCTATTTATTATTTATCTTTTCTAGCAGGACTATTCAAATTTGACAGCTCTTGCTCCTTCCCTTGCTTCAACTCAAGTCTGTCGTGTGTTTGCACGACGTACGTGTATTTATTTACTTGTGTGTATGTACGTGTATGGAAATACGTGTGTATTTCCCTTTGGAATTTCCAGAGTATCGTTCCGAGTGTTGTACCTACAATGGTACAAGTCCATTGAACTTATCTTTATTGCCATGAGCAGCCCATTAGTAAACAGCGTACCGAAAAGCCTGTACGTCTACGATAATTGCTCTACGTCCTTTCCATTCAGGTACGGGAGAGGGTGGGACGGGGCTATAAACCCAAAAAAAAAAAAAATGCTTTAGAATTTATATTACTACGTACAATCAGTCCGAGCGATAATAACCATAATGCATTGTAAAAATAAGAATATAATACTATAGATAAAAATAAAATGGGAGATATAGTAAATATATTTTTTAATATAAATAATTTAATAAATATATATTTATGCAAATTTAAACGTATTGATTTCAATAAACGTGAATACTGCCGTATTCACTTTTACAAGTGTAAATACAAAGGCTCGGGAATTTATATTACGTAAAAAAATTACGAATGATAATTATCATAACATATTTTAAAAGGAAGAATATAATACTATATATAAAGATGAAATAATATACATAGTAAATATATTTTTAAAATAAATAATTTAAAATAAATAAATTTTCATTAAATAAATAAGAGTATTCATTAATAAGGTTGTGTGAACATATTTCCATTCACTTCTGTAAATTTAAGCCCATTCATTTTAATAAACGTGAATATTACCGTATTCACCGTTACAGGTGTAAATATAGCCGTATTCACTTTTACAATCGTGAAATCGTGTTTTTAGTAAAATCACGAGCGGTCACTAAAAACGCTAAAATATATTAATTATCCGCCGTCCGCGCATTTTCTCCGAAACTACTGAACGGATTTTTTTCAAATTTGGATTCAAAATTAGATGGTGTGAAATGTCACTATAATTATTGTCCACGTGACAGATTATTATATTTCTAAATAAATAAAAAAAGATTATAGATCACCCGAGGATGATCCTCCTTCATCGACATTTCTATCCTCCTTTTTCTTTCAACCGTTGCCATCTGTAAGTCTTTATGTAAAGTAATGTTACTAACGTAAAATGGAGCTTTGGTGATAGTCCTGAAAGTTTTAGATTGAAAAGTCTGTAATTTACGTATGTGAGTCTTTTTGGCTGTTCCATATATCTGTGAAGCGTAGGTCCAAATAGGCTTGAGAAGGTAAGTATATGTATTCAATTTCTGTCCAAGTTTTAATTTCGAATTTCTTGCAAGGAGTGAGTACAATAGTCGTAGTCTTAGGTTTATAGTTTTTGTTTTGTTTTTGATATGTGGACCCCATGTCATTCTTCTGTCAAAGGTCAGTCCAAGATATTGAACTTTGTCTGTCTGAGGAATTTGGATATTGTCAAGGTAAATAGAGGGGCAAGTTTCACGTCGAAGGGTAAAAGTGATATGTAGTGATTTGTCTTGGTTGAGTCGAATTTTCCAGAGTTTGCACCAGTCGTAGAAATTGTTTAGGCAATATTGTAGAGTCTGTGAGGCGTATGTTGAATTTTGATGTCTTGTTGTGTCGTCTGCGTGCGTAAGTCGCGATCAGAGTATCGAGAGGATCTGGAATATCATATGTGTAAATAACATACAACAGAGGAGCGAGTACTGACCCCTGAGGCACTCCTGCTAGGGCTGATTTAATAGTAGATAGTTCTGTGGCTTGGCAAACTGAGAAAAATCTGTCAGAATCCATCTTCGGAGAGGTGCTGACAGCTCTCAGTGCTTTAACAACTTTTAGATGTGCTTCTCTAAGCTTCCATCGCCAGGCGAAAGGCCATTGTTTGTCCTGTTAAAATTTTGGATTTATTTTATAAGATGATTGTTTAGTCGATTACATATCTGTGTGTCTGATAGGTGTCTGCCATATCTTACGCGCTCTCCTCTTTGCTCTGATCAATTTTCTTATATACTCAGGATTATTTTCTTATTAGATTAGACCCTTTATAGTAATTGCTCAGTTTCAGGCTTGAGTTTGAATATTGATGCTGACCAAGCGAATTTTTACTTTCAAATTGTGAATCAGAGATAACTTCTAATTTAGTATTCTGATTAACTTTATGACTAAACTCGATTAAAATAAGGGCGAATTTAAAAAATATTAAGACTAAATAGAAAAAAAAGATGTCCAAATTATTTAAATTGTAATGTTTTCTTTGAAAAATCGAGAAATTTCAACAAATCGTGAATATTTTTGAAAATTTAAGCATTGCTTAATATAGGAAATAATAAAATAAATATTCTAGATTAATGATGAACCAATTGGGTTGCATGTTAACAGCGCAGAAATATTTTTTCCTTTGCAAACTCAACGAACCAAAACTTTAGAAAAATATAAGACCACTATAATTGCAAATACTATTTAAATGGAATGATGATAGTCAAACAGTGAAAAAAAGGTTAATAATATGTGTATTTACCAGATTGTTAACTCATTATTAACGATATTTATGACCAATATTATAAATAAATTGTATTTTGTTAACAAAATACTGTTTGGTTACTGTAATAAAGAGTTTTGAATGTCTTTTGAACAAATATCATCTATAATTAAAGTTTCATTTATTAACGCACTTTTATAGTTAATAGATAATAAGTAATTAGCATAATAAATAGATAAAACATATTGAAGGATGAGTAAATTATTTGATTAAAACATAAACAACAAAATTTCCACCTTAACAATGATATTACTGTAAATAATGCAGAAACAAAGTGTTTCGTTCAACGATCTACTTTATTCTTCAATATTTTATTTGATAGAGTTTAATTAATATATCACTTATCAATTTTATATATCTACTGATTTGGAGATCTTAATTTACTTCCTTTTGTCTTTTTGTGAGTTCAAATAAGAAAGCTGTTTGCAACAATGTTCATGTTGCAGTTGATTATTCCCAACAAGGACCTATTCACTATTGTCCGCAAGCTAGGTTACAAAATGTTAAACAACTATATGTTATTTGAAAACATTTCACGAAGAGAAGTATTTCTCGACGAAGTCGATCAAATCGTCCCCTAACTTCTCGATGATGCCATCTTCCAAATACATATCCGAGTGAAAACCTTCTGAACCACTTGTCTTCAACAACGTATCCAAGTCAAAAGTCGCTGTCCCCTCTTTCGCAGTGAGGCTTGCGTACCAGCAGACAAACAAACATATTCCGAAGAACGATACCCTTTCCATGGCTGCTTCTAATCCCTTCAAGGTAGGTCTAGTCCCTTTGAAGCCATAAATATCCAAATATTTAATCAATGCCTCAAAGTAGTATTCCAAAAACAGTTTGTAGTTCTTGCGACGCAGTTTGGGTTGTAGGCTCATGTAGAGGAAGTTGCTGACATCTGCGCATGGAGTGTTGTAGTTTGAAAACTGGAAGTCCACGAACCTACGCAAAAAAATGGTAACGATAATTAATATTAAACTGCCATAATTTGTGATTTATGACACATGAACAAATATAATCATCTAAGCCCATTACATCCAATTGTTCAAACCTCTGAAGTCTGCAAAACAAACACTTATCTATATGATGCATAGATATATACTTTTTTCCGAAATCACGCTTAATTTACTAAAATTTTGTTCTTCCGATTCCAAAAAAAATATTTTAAAATATGTTCTATCGTTGCATTCGTCTTTTGTTTATTAAGGAGCAATCGTTATTTTAAAATATGGAGCTGCATACAAAACTTTATTTATTTACCATCAACTATTTAGTCTTAATAACACACGTTACTAACTCACTAGAAAAATAAGACACTATCCATTTCTTGGGCATGTTCTATAAGTCCAGTAAAATTAGGGATTGACCCCAACACTTTTTATTAGATTACTTGTTTATTGATAAATATTACAATCTGTCTAAATTAAGGATACTTATTATAGAGTTCAGAGAGCAAATTCACACCATATAGAACCTTACACTAAAAAAATATTCAGTTCTACCAATGGGTAGTTTCTCTTCATGTTGTACATGTCATGTTACCAATTTCACATTTACTTATTGTATTTTCTATGTAATATAGTTGTAAATTCCATTAAAATAATTTTAAAAAAATAAAATAAAATAAAGATGAAACTTGTCAAAAATTGTTCATTGCCTTCCCCATAATAACTGGTAAAAAGTCCCAAAGAATCCCGCCTCGGGTTTTGATTTTTTTTTTTTTTTTTTGAGAATATCTCAAAAACTATGATGTTTTTGCAAAATTTGTTCAGTACAATATTAAAGAACTTTAAAATCTCTATAAAAATTACTCTTTACATTTTATTGATGAAATCAATTATTACGGAGAAATTTATGAGATTATATTTATTGTACTTCCACTTTAAAAAAAAATTGCTCCAAACCACGAAATTTATGTTGTTCATAGTAGACAATTCCTTTTTGAAGTTTAATTAGTTGTTTTTTTTTATTTCCGATAGTTCAATTTATTATTCAAAGTTTCTTTCTTTTAATAATTATTAAAAGTCATTAAAATCAGGAAACTTAAATTTTGTAATATTGAATATTTAATGGTTGACCGTTGCATTATAAAGGAAGGAGATGGTCCGGGGTTGCGGTCATAAAAAGGCTAAATAGTAGTAAAACTATTTTATTGAAAGCCAACGTTTCGACCCGACTTTGCAGGTCTTCATCAGGGAGGTGTGTTCCCGTGACCTGCAAAGTCGGGTCGAAACGTTGGCTTTCAATAAAATAGTTTTACCACTATTTAGCCTTTTTATGACCGCAACCCCGGACCATCTCCTTCCTTTAAATTTTGTAAGTTTGTTTGTGTTCGAAGTAGTTTTTGCATAAAGTGGAAATGAAATAAATATAATCTCATAAAATCTCCATTACCATTGATTTTATCAAACAAATGTATAGGATCATTTTTATAGAGATTTTGAAGTACTTTAATATTGTGCTGAACAATCTTCCGAAAAACGTCATAATTTTTTAGATATTCTCATTTTCTTTTTTCTGTTCTTCTCCCCCCCCCCCCTCCCACTACCGAAACCGGACTCGGAATTCTCTGGGTCTTTTTACCAGTTATTATGGGGAGGGTAATGAACAATTTCTGACAAGATATTGAACAATTTCATCTTTATTTTTTTTTAATCTTAGAGTAAGGCTGTTTTTCCCTAACTTTACTGGATATAATACTAGACTATATATGTATAGCGAGATCAGAGAAAAATGATTTGGTAGGCAAACTTGTTAAGTTTGTGACGAAAAAAAAATTAGTTCATAAAATAGTTGTTGTTTTTTTTTTTTATTAATAACTCGAAGAGGGTTAAATATAAAATTAAGAATTAGTTAGTTGAGTATTTAGTATTAGTTTTAATAATAATTATTAGTTTATAATAAGTCTTAGTTTTAAGTATTCATTTTATTTCGGAGTGTAACAGCCAACAGCTGATTGGGAGGAAAAACAAAAGACAGTTTAGAGAGAGATGGCGGAACCTCGCGAGTGTTGAGGCACGCTAAAGATTTGGTTGTGTGAAATACTTTAGTTTTACGGTGTACACCGGATTTTCTTTTCCTCTCCTGTGATTATCAGCGACGAGTGCCGCTTGATTTTACTAGTTGGTGAATGAACATTTTCACAGCTTGAGGAGATAGACTGGGGAGACCTTGACGACGCTAGTTCGAATAAGTTCCCGCTTCTCCAGATAACCCAATGTGCCAATTGGACAGAGTTCAACCAGTGGGATATTGTAAATATGTACATATAAGTTTTTTCCTATTTATTTTTTTTTTACCCCAAATATTTGTAATTGATTTATTGTATAGTCGTAAGTTAATGTTTAGTTCTATAATAATTTTATAATCTTTTCCTTTGATAATTAAAGTTAATTGTATTTTCTTTGTTTTCTTATAAATCTAATTTCTTGTTCATAATTTTCATTTCCTTTAACAGTTATTTAAATCAATAGAAATAAGTAAATTCATCATTAGTATTAATAATAGCCAGTTTTATTTTCTCTTTTCTTCGTTTGTTTCACGTTTTATGTATATATTATATTGTTTTTTTTAGGTTTAATAAGGAATTGTAAAACCCTATTCGAGGGATTAGGGAAAGTCATTATTAACCAAGTAAGAAGGTTCGATAGGTTATGAGGTTAATTAACATATGTTTTTAAACCCAAAGGTTCCGAGTTCGTAGCTCACTCCGCGTCCTAATCTTTTTTTTTTAATTAAATTTATTTAATTTTTTTTTTATGGTTTTCGCTATTTTCCAAATTCAACAAATTAAATAGCGTGGCGCCTGTTAGATAGTTATTAATATTTAATTGACTCTTGATTATATATTTTTTTTTTTTTGCGAACCCTGCCGTCTCCACTGAGTAAGTAAGTTTGTTGCGGAAACAATTTTTCCAAATTAAAGACCGTAACAACATGTTCAAAATTACCTTAACGAGTGGGGCTTTCCTTGCCAATTATACTTGAACATGATGTTATTAGTCCAGCAGTCTCCGTGGTTGAGGCAAACGAATTCTTCGTCTGTGTAAACGCTACAGGACTTCACCTTCTCGTAGAAAACATCGGAAGGTATGTCCAGTTTGGAAGCGAGGCTAGCCCTGTAAAAGAATACTTTAATAATTGATGGATACATATAACATTAGTTTCTGTTTATATACGAAGTATTAATTTTTAAGGTTAATCTTTTAAACCTTTTAATCTTTACTGTTTAAAAAGTAATTTATAGAAAACGATTATCTTTAGTCTGAAATAGAGTCGCACAAAAGGAATGGGGCAAAAATAATATTTTTTGGATTGAGCAGTGGGAAGAAGAGGTTAAGCCCTTGATGGTAAAAAAAAACCTATATTATTACAACCCATGAAAATCTTGGATGAAGTACTGTTTCATGGGCATACATTAAAAGTCCTTTGGTAGAGATGCCATTGGACCATCTGCCAGGTTTGCGCCTTAATCTATTATTTAATTTATTAGGAGTACCTAATTCACAGAGGTTGGATGTCCCGATCACAGATTTGATCCATGCCTGATGGAACAGGATAAATAATTACCTGCCACAGCACAACTGGACTCGAGCCCAGGAATTCGAAAGTCATTGTCTTACCCACTAGCTCTTTAAAAACTCAACCTCAGTATTTTTAAAAAATTTTATCTGTAGCATAGGTTCTATTACCAGCATAAGATCTGTACTGTTGATATAAGATTCATTAAATAAACAATGATTTATAGATCTGATAGTTTCATTACAATTTGCAATAGAATAGAATTGAATTTATTTGTTAAAGATTATTTTACAATCTTGTACAAATGATACATATATGAATAATTTCATTTCACCTACATTAGTCTAGTCTATCCTAACTGTACATTGGCTTTCTATAAAAACAATAACTAAACAATAATACTTCATTACATTCCAATTAATTTCTACCTACATTATCAATAAACCCAAAAAAGAAAAAATAAACACATAATTAATTGAACTGACCAACAATTATCCTTAGTCATAGCACTTTATTGGTGTGTGGGACATCAGAGCTTAAGGAATCCAGTGAATTGCACGCTGACATTATGAACCAGTAAATTTTATTAAGATTCTCTATGCTATCGATTCGAAGTATGTCTTGTATCTTGTTTACATCACTTGGCGCAGAGAGAAATGCTTGTGTCTGTTGTCTGTTAGCTTTTCACAGTACAGAAGGATATGGAACAGGCTGTTATTAATGAATTGGTTACAGAAAGTGCAGGTTTCCTGGGCTTTGAAGCAGAAACTTTTGTTTTTCGTATAGAGCTTAATTAATTCGGGATACAATTTGCAATAATAACTTATTCGTTCTTCTCTAATATAATCTTTAAGAATCATCACTTCTATTCCGTGCCTCCATTCATTTGCGTAAAAAAAAAATTATTTTATTTTTTTCTTAACCCCATATGATGTGGTGTTGAGAACAGAGTGGTTGTACGAGGCTTGAACATGACTCTTGTACTGCACAGAGTGCATTTTAAGAGTGGGGTGGGGAATTGGGAGTACTGTGGTTATTCATAGTCATGGACATAGTGACGGGGCCCATTAGTGTCCTCTAAATGTCAATTTTTCAGTCTAGTAATACGTTTTTAATATATGATTGCCATCTCATAAGTTTGTGAGTAAGTGGAGTAAGTGTCTTAAAAAGTCCGAACGTGTCTAAAGTCGTGTGTCTCACTATTCTTCTTAGCACACCGTTCTGAAACTGTTGGAGCTTTTTCCATATTGCCGGTGATATGTAAGTTAGGAGTGGTGCTCCATAAAGAAGTGCCGGTCTTAAAATGCTCTTGTATATTGTTAATTTGAGGCGGAGGGATAAGTTAGGGGAAGTCAACAGATGGTTGAGCCTCTATGCCTTGGTCCTTACCGATTTCAATTTCTTATTACAGTGGCGAGCCAGTGTTAGGTGCCTATCGTGGGTAACACATAAATATACTATACTGCTCGCCGGTCTGTTCTGGGTAGAAATATTCGCTCTTCATTAATCCTAACACATCTAGTTGAATTTTCACTCAACGAAAACGATTACTTTTGTAAAATCCTGAAATCCCTTTTGAAACTCCCTAACTATATTTATTCGTAAGGCCTCCATTCCAGCTTTCTTCGAAACACAATGTATTCTTTTACTATCTCAACAATCCTAAAAGCAGCTACCATTTGACGCCCAGATAGATTATTCTTAGAGTAGGACATAAATAAGAATTGGAACCACCTTCCGTTGATCTTACCATTCAGGACCCCAATGCTGTACCATAGCCAAGCGCAATGTCTTAAGTCCAGAATAGCTCAACGTCTGAACGTAACGGCTGTTGGTCATGAGAGGGTGGGTGTCGAAGTCGTCCTTGGATATGATTCCTCTCTCTTCAAGAACCTTCCCTATGGCGTGGTACCTTGCGAGACTTCTTAGAGCCAGTTGTCCGTGTTCCATGTCTATGCCGACCTGTCTTTGCACCAGGCTGAATCCTGCTGCCTGAGAAATAAACAAGATGTATTATAAGTACATTACACACACACATATATAATAATAATAATAATAATAATAATGCTTTATTTATTCTGGGACAAGTCCCTTTAGAATAATATAAAAAGACAATAATATGGGCTAAGGAGCCTTAGAGATACATAAACAAAAATATACAGTAATTAAATAGTCAAAATAAAAAAAAAATAATAGAAAAAATTATAAATTACTTACTAATTTAGATCAGTTAAAAATAAAAAACAAAAAATTGAAAATAAACATGAAATAAAAATAATGAAGAACGCTCTAATAATGTATATACATATTTGCAGTAGTAACTATTTACAATTGTACTTTTCTATACTATTACAATAGTAGGAAGGAATAATTGGGTAGGGAAATCTGGGAGTAAGGGATAAAAGGTTTAAAATAGGTTTCGGATATTGCTATTATGTGGTAAAAGTTATCAAGGAAATGTTCCTGAAATTAATTCTAGTGTGTAGTAAGGGATTGTGCATTGATGTGACAGGAATTCAGGATATTCGTCATGACTGGAGGGTTGGGTTAGGATTTTGGAAAAAAAAAAAATTATCAAGGATGAAGGATAGGATATAGCATTTTTTAAGCATAATGTCAAGTTTATAAATATAAAAAACCAATGCTTACATAAAATAAACTTTGTGATGAAAAAAAATAAATTAATTTATAACATAAGAAAATATAAATTTCTCCTTGGTCTAGATAAATTAATAAAAATTGGCAAGAAATCGAATAAAGTTCTAAATAATTTATACAAAAATAAAAGAAGCTTAAAATTAAAATAATAATATTTCTGATGAGTAAAAATTGATACAAAAAAAACAACAAGAGAAGCTACATTTATAAAAAAATAAAGAAAGCTGGAAATGAAAAAAATATAATAAATATATTTCTAGCGAGAGAAAGTAAATTAATTGCAAGCTGAAGGTAACTTTTATACAAAGTTTAGCTGAAAACGTCCAGATCACTTGGTTTTTCTATAATTACTACTGGATCTCCACCTGATTGTTTGCAACGAATTTTACCCCCACTGAACCAGACGTATCTTATTTTTGCCGTCACCCTCTTCTGCCTGGCTAACCAATAAAGGTGTTGTTTATTGGTGGGCGTCATGGCTTCATTCACGTAGACGCGGTGCGAGTCGATCTCTCCCCAGCCTAGATGGCGCGTAGAGAAATCTCTCTTCGCTCTTCGTTTTGTTAAAGTATTAATAAATAATCACGGATTACTTTTCAAATATAAAACTTTTTATAAATCGTTACTAATTTTCTTAAGGTTGTATAACTCCTTTGTTACATATCATATCACATTATATATATTATTATGATGATATTACATGAGGCTAAAATGGTATGGCAATTTTGAAAGGATGCCGGAGGACCAATGGCCAACAATAATTCTTCAGTATCAACCAATAAAAAGGCGACAAAAAGAACGACGCAGGAAGAAATGTGGAAAAAAGCATAGCCGCCAAAGGTCTTTGAGAAAGTGAGTGGAAGACCGTAAGAAGTGGCTAGAACTTTTAAGCACGATAAACGACTACATCACAAAAATAAACCGTTTGTAAAAAGTGTTTATTTTAAATAACATTTATATGTTTATATAGATAAAATTTCTATATCTACGATTAGATATAGAATACGGGCTAAAAGGTGGAGAATAAAAATGAAAGATTCTAATAGCCAATTTGTTTCATTTACACTTAAACATGACTCTTGTCCTCCAGTGTTCTTTAATAATATCGCTCTACCACCTTCAAAAACTGTACGATATTTGGATCTCCACTTGGACAAACAACTGGCATGGACATACCACATAAAACAAAAAAGGAAAGAACTTAATCAGCGATACGGACTTCTTTTTAGGCTACTTGACAGACGTTCTAAATTATCTGTGACTAATAAATTAACTATTTACAAACTCCTCATTAAACCACTTTGGACATATGTGATCGAACTATGGGGAACAGCAAAGAAATCAAATATAAAAATCATCCAGTCATTTCAGTCAAAAGTCCTTCGGAAAATTGTAGACGCACCCTTTTATGTTTTAAACCTCACGTTCACACTGACCTTAACACTGCTTTCATCGCAGCAACTGCCACTGACCGCTTCAATAATTTTCATGACAGGCTGACTCTAAATTCCAATCCACTTACTCAAGCTCTATCTACAGCAGAAGACTGCTGAGGCGCTGGCCAAGAGACGTATTGCATTGAGCTACTTGCTGCAATATCTTTTTTTTTGTGTGTGTGTGTGTGTTTGTTATTATGTTATTATGTATGTGTTATTTTACTGTTTTTTTTTTTTTGTCTTTTTGTTTTGTTATTACTATTTTTTTTTTATGCTATAATTTCTTCTCCTTGATATCATATTTGTTGAATACCGAGGGAGATGGCAAATTTATTGTGAGCCACGAATATGTATAACTAATAAATAAATGTCTACGATTAAAAACTGAATCTATGTTTGAATGAAGAAAAATGTCTTAATATTTTTACTCCTTTACATTAATTAAATGTTTATATTAAAAGGAAGCTAGACTCTAAAAAAAATATTCTTTAACAAAAAAACAAACAATTAATTCAACAGTCGGATATTAACCATTGAACGAATCTTATTATATTAAATTATTGTGACTTTCCCAATTTCTTGGGAAAAATTAAATATTGCTGAGAAGTGGAACGAAGATTTCCCGAAACGATCAAAGAATTACAATAAAAGACTTATTTGATTAATTTATACAGACCATGAGGCAAATAAATCATTGTAAACAAAATTTATTTATATATATATATATATATATATATATATATATATTTAAATAAATATATTTTGAAGACTTTTCGAGACTTAACTGTTCTCGTATTTATATCTTACAGTAAAACAATAAATATGAGAAAGGTGATGTCATGAATAAAATAAAATTGAATTCTTACTTACCTTCAAATCTTCAAGAATTAAGGAAGAAGATTTCGAATCATAGTGAATAAATTTACACCACAGTGGTTCTTCATAATCTCCTACATCTTCAATTAAGTATTCCATCTGCCTGAAGATACTTGAGTACATCTGGAATTATTGCATCTCTGTCAATGGTGCATTAAAATTAATACTGAATAATGAAATATTGAAACAATGACTATAATGACTACAAAAAAAAACAAAAAAACTTTAAGCCGATGAAGGAATAGTCTTGAGTCCAAGACTTCGTCGTTAAGGGAGTGAAGTAGTTTTTTTTACTTGTTTGTTATTAGACCATGAGCACTCGAGTTCATCAAGTTTGTTCCCTAAACAGAGAAAGGATTATTAAGGATAAAAAGATTTCTGATAACAGGGTTATCAGTAATACTAATCCCAATCCTTTATTTTTCAGACTTTGAAAGTTTATAGGGTAAACTAATGCGACATCAGAGGAATATACTGTAACTAATTACTATTAAACCCAATTCAGAACTCACAACCGACGCAGTTTGGCCGATTGCGAATCCAACTATAAAATATTTCCTTCTCATCCAGACTAATTTGTTATGATTAAAAAAGTAAATGAATCGGCCATATTCCCTATAAAAAAAAAAAAAAAGAATCGGCCAATCACGGCTAACTCATGAGCACCTGATGACAAAGGGGACGGACGCCCCCTCAGTGTCTCTGCTGCGGGGTCAATTTAACAGTCAGGCACATTTTGACCGAGTGTTGTGCATATGAAACACAACCGAATGAAGTCAAATTGGAGAATGACATAACTGAAATTTTGAAAAATACCACCAAATTGGCAAAAAAAGTCTTTATTTTTCTTCAAATAACGCACCTATACAACAAAATTTAAAATTTGCTGACTCTTTTTTTTTTTTGTTTTAAATATTTTATGCTTTCAATTTATTGTTATATTTTATTTCATCTGATGTAAAATAAATATTTTGTAAGGCCTAAAATGACCCGTAAGAGGTTGAGGAGCACCGCCATTGTTATAAATAAATAAAAATTTAAAAAAGTATATGATTGTTTTTTTATTTAAAACCAGTATGATTTTTATTGTATATTCCATGAATATTTTAAAATCCAAATAAAACATTTCTCTAATAAAATATTATTTAGACCGAGATAGACGATTTATTTTTCATGGTCTGGTATTAAATACACATAATCTTATCCGGCACTACAAGCAAGTTCAGAAACTCACTTAACGAACTATGTTTATCGTGTTGTGGCGTGTAGGGATTAATTTAACTTTTGCTTCCTCACTACCGAAGGTAGGGGAGCATTGTATTTTTTCAGATCATAATAACATTGTCTTCATTTATAATTAATAATATCATAGCTAATAACGAAATTATTAATTGTTCACAAAATCGGGGCACATCAATAAACGTTTTACAGTTATAGTGGGTTTGAAGCTTTATGTCCGCTACGTTAAAAACATAAAAATATGGATAACAGTAATAGGATATTTAAATATTACCAACTAATCCGAATTTAGATTTACTATGTTATCAAGTATATCAGCGATAACAGTAATAGGATATTTAAATATTACTAATTAATCTGAATTTAGGTTTACTATGTTATCTTTCCATTGTCTCATTGATAAGAATCTATCTCTTTTTCAGGATCAAAAAAGCAATGTTTTGGAGTGCTTATTTGTCTTCAAAATGATTGGTCACTTGTTTTAAAATCAAATTTTTAATTTGCATGCTCAACCAAGTAAATGTTATAATAATCGTTAAAAACATTCTTCTCATAATGTCTCAGATTATTCTTTTTTCAAAAACAGAGTTTCCCACTACAACACAATTATTATCATTGCTTTTAAACGGTCGAGGACGGTTGATCAGGTTTCACGTATTTGTTAGTCTAACACAAAGACACAAAGCATCAAAATTTAGGTCACACAATCATGTACGTAAAACGTTACAAGCGAAGACGTGAAAAAGATTTCTGTTTAGGTGAAAATTGCTAATTAAAGTAGATTATTGGTGGCTATAATGAACTAAAGTAGAGGATAAATACCTTATTTATCGCACTACATCGTTATACAGTAAAGAAAATAAATACATCTCTATACTTGTCAATACCAAGAGACAGAACGGACTAACTTATCTTAAAAATATGAAATAAGTACTCAACTGGCGTTCCCTCGGATTATTCATATGTTTTTTTTTTTTTTAGTGAAAACTTCTTTAGGTTTGTTTTCCACTTTTCTTCTTTAGGTATGTTTTGATTATATTCAATAATCAACCATTGCGATCGACCAAAAAATTCAAAAACTTAACCCTCTCTCAAAATTTGAGGTTTCGCGTGTCAGGATGCGTAGAATTCGAAAAACGAATAAAAATTGTTTTGTCCGTCCGCCGTCTGCGCATTTTCTTCGAAATTGCTGGACCGATTTTTTTCAAATTTGGATATAAAATAAGTGGTCCCTCGAGGATGACCCCCCTTCATCGACTTTACTATCCGCCTTTTACTTTAAAAATGGCGGCCGAAAAACCTGCGTTGCTATAGACTGTAGCTCCTAAACGAATGTACAGATTTCAATGAAACTTCGCTAAAGTCATTTTCTCGACGCCCTTTAAATTTATCTATATAACATACTTCAACGAAAAGAAGCTGGAAAAAAAGTTACGAGGGATGGTAAAATCAATTTCCGAATAACACAAAAAGTATACACTTTTTGTAGATATTGTGATAAGATGTTTCAAAGGTAATTAAATTTCCTGGGAGGTGGCAAGGTAAACTCCCTTTGGTGGACATATTCGCCAAAGGATGTGGTTCAAACCCATTAATTTGTATATATTTTATATAATGTAAATATTGTAAATAATATATAACCAGAACGGTCCCTACCCGTTCAATGAAAGTTACAAGGCTTTGTGGTAGATATGTTACCCTTACCTATATGTAATCCTTAAATTCCCTCGATCAGTGGAAAGACCTTGTTCTTTGTATATATTTGTATTTGTTATTTTTGGGGTTTATAAAAAAATGGGGGGAGGAAAGGGCAATATAATAACTGTTGCCTAATATTGACCGGATTGTGAATCTTAAATTATTCTTGAAATGAGCTTTGAAATGCATCAGAAGCTATGGTATGGTATCAGAAGTATAGTTTACTACTTATTAAAAAATACAACAACAAAGGAGATCGCTTTCCATTAAATAAAAATAAAAATACAATACCATAGTAATAAATGTTTTTAGATTAATAAAGGTAATACTTCAATTGCCATTAAAATATATCCTTATGAAAAAACATTAAAGTTATTTGCAAATAAAATTTTGCTTTTATCGTAACTTTAATCCATTTTTCGGAAAGAAGGGCATGTTATGAATATAAATTTTAAAGACTTGAAATAGAAGACTTTAAGCGAGTACCATTTGGCGCTACAGTTGGTAGAAAATTAAGTTTTTGGTTATTGTGCAGATGCTGTTTAATTTATTACTGTCATTAAAGAAAAATAAAAAAAATAATAATATCAACAAAGTCGGTACACCCGCTCATGAGAGGTTCATTGCAGAGACAAACAGTTCCTTACACAGTGATGGTAAGACAGTTGTTATTACTAACAAGAGTTTTGGTATTATAATTTAAAAATAAATTATATTTTTGAGCTTTCTTCATAAATGGCAGAGGAAGAGGCGTATTAAATATATTATCAGTTACCATTTAGGAACGCAGCTTCTTATAATTATGTCAATTTCTGGGGATCATCCTGGTATGACTTGTGACTCGTTAATCTCGAAAACTGCGACCCACTTGCGTCGGAGAAAGTCATAAATGGTGGATGGACGTTGTTTACTTTCACTTACGTATATATGTAGTATATAGTAAGGATAAGAATTTTGGAATATCAGTTTTCAACGGAAATACGTGTTTTGAGGTCCCCTGAGTCGAAATAACCAAGTCTCGCAAAATGGTCTGTGTCTGTGTGTATGTGTTAACAGTCTAGCTCATAAACGAAAAGTAGTACGAAACTGATATTAAGTATTTAAGGTTTGTATATCGGCCGGATGTGACAGCAACTTTTTCGTTAAAATCGGCTAACCGGAAGTGCCACTTTATATGAACGCTGAAACATCAAACTCGGTGTATCATTGTATAATTAAGTGGTCTTTGATAACATTTAGGTCTTATCCCCGTTGATTTCAGTCTACACGGCTTAAATGCCCAATGTTCATATATGTTTTCCTTTAGAGTAACTTTAATATGGTTTATTTTAAAATGTTGATCATTTCGCATTATTCAGAATAATAAAAAAATGCTACATCTATAACTTTTGAAAGAATTTGATAAGTTGATAAAGGAGAAAAAAAATAAAAATGCAGAAAAACCTGCGTTGCTATAGACTGCAGCGCCTAAACGAATGTATCGATTTCAATGAAACTTCGCTAAAGTCATTTTCTCGACACCCTTTAAATTTATAAAAAGAAGCTGGAAAAAAGTTAAAATTAAATTCCGAATAACTCAAAAAGTATACACTTTTTTGGGTATATTGTATGGTTTTTTAAAAGTTTATGGAATTTCCTAAAAAAAAAAACTTAATCGTTAAAATCGGACAATTAGGAGGAAAGATATGGTCTCTAGTTCTTTCCCCTGAAGAGGCTAAAATTTGGATAAATTTAAAATATACTTTTTTTAATTGTTGAGAATAAAAAAATCTTTTTTCTACAGATATTTAATAAAATATCTTTCCTAAGAACATTTTTCATTGGAAATAAGTACCTAAATTTATACCTTTATTCTCAGTTCTATATTTCAACACTGCAATCACCACCTATGGAATCAACTTACTCATTGTCTGCATAGATAGCTTTTTCAACTAAAAATATCACTAAAATGAAGTCGCTCAAAAATGTTGAAATTGGAGTTAGTCATTCTGTGGTTTATAAAAGCAAAGAAAGTTGTGTGGTTTATAAAAGCAGGTGGAGTGACTAAATTTTTATTGCCTACCTTCGATATATTAAATCAACATTTTGTAATTGCAATGGTCTTAATGACTTGTTATCTGTAAGCTTTAAGGTTTAGCTCCGTTTAAAATGCACTTCAAAAAATTGTATAATAGCCCAGCATTATCAGAAAATAATTTTCTATTCAAAGTAGAGCGGTAAGTGAAAGTTGTGTGTTAAATTTTTTTTTGTTGGATTCTCAAATAAAAAAGCCCAATATTGAAAATAGTAATGTGAAAATGGAATGATCCTGAACCATTTAAAATAAATTTTTGAAGTCCTGTAAAAGTGAAGTGTATTACCAATTTGTGGTTCATTTTAAGCTCAGTGTTAAATATTCCGAACTCTTTCCTAATAAATTATAACAGTTATATACTTCGAGGAAATCGATTAAGTATTTATCGATATGATTGTGCTTACCTTGAGTTCTACCTTGAAGGCTTCATTCATCAAAACTGCAACATTATCTGAACCATCTCCCCTCTTCACAATGAGATTCCTCATGGTAACTCTTCCATTCCCCAGGACGACTTTCATCCGAATCCTCAGGATCGTCGAGAGGTAGTTCTCTCCCTTGGGAAGGGCCGATTCACTCTCTGCTTCGATGACCCGTGCGATTGCTTGATCTTTGATAGATCGCTTGAGAGCAATTTCCAACACTTTCTGGTCCATGACTAACCCACAGCGAGAGAGACAAGAGTATAACTAGAACTTATGAAAGTGGGAATATATATCCTAGGTGAATATATTATATTTACTGATAAAATAATTACTCGTTATTCAACAGAGTAATAAAGACATTTGGAAAAGCTAACAACAGCATTTGCTGATTTCATTTACATTAAGATTAAGCTATAAATATTCCTGTGTTTACAAATCCGTACAAATTAAGAAGTGTTTAAATGGTGATTAAACATTTAAACATTCATTCCTAATAAAATTCCTGCAGAGAAAAAAATATATATATATATTTTTTTAATTTTACAGAATGTTTTAAACATATATTAGTTAAGATTATAATAATAATTTCTTATATAAAGCACCAAAGTCTAATTTCGAACATACTAGAGCTGGATTCAGTTTTATTAACATAAGTCTGTCTGAGCCCCAGGAAGTACTCTGTACCTTTTTTGGCACCTGAATATATTTAACCTTTGCACTTCAGACTTTTGCAACGTGGCTATGTGGAAAAAATTGTCTCTATTCTTAGATTTTCTGTGACAAATCATAGCCCTTACTCTTTGTTAAAAGACCAAACATATTTACATTTAATAAAATAAAATTTACTAGGATGAAAAATAGTATAAATATGTAATGATTTTTCCAATGCATTAAAATACTGATATTAAACATTTTAAGCTTCTTGCAGAACCCCAAGATATAAATATGACAAAAAAGTTAATAGGATGATGTTGATTAATATAGAAATATTTACACGAAGATAACTTTTAATAATTAAATTAAATGCATAACATACTGATATAATAATAAATTTATTTCGGTATGTTAAAATAATAATAAAGTGATTACCAATTTTCGATTAAAACACGCATTGGTAATATTTGTCTTAAAAAAGAAATGAATTCAAAGAAGTATAAATTTTCAGTGTTATCATTTTAATTACTCAGTGGCATGAGGTTAGAGGAGGACAAATAATGATATCTGCATCTATCTGTAATAAAAATAAACCAGACAATGTGTTTATTTAATATGATTGTTTGCTTGTCTGCCAAATATCTCTGTCAATAAATCGCGTTCATTCGAAAATAGTTGTTAGCAATGTTGTGAAAACAACGTTTGACGTCATAATGCAATTCCTTTGCATAAGTCATTTTTAAAAGCTAATGAAACTCCGATTGTACAATATAATAGATAAAACAGCAAAGTGTTTGATAAACTTCAAGCTGCCAAACTCGCACATATGCCTGTGTACTGCACTTGCATTTATAATACTTATTCATTTCAAAATATATAAGATCTCCATTGTTTTTTGTAGGAAGTTCAGTCGTGTTCCAGAAGGAGAAATGAATTTTTTGTAAGGTAGTGCATATAACTTCTTGGTTTATTCTTTATCGTTCAACTCATAACATCAAGTTTACGTTTCTGGATTATGACCTCATCTTCAGAAATATTTATTGTATTCTTGTTGGTGTTCAGGCAAAGATAATTTTTGATTTTTTGATAGGTCAATTTATTTGAAACAAATTTCTAAAGAGGAGACAATTCATATAAACATTGGTGGAAAATTTAATTTTTTGTCTCCCAAAACCTCCCCCCCCCCAAAAAAAAAAAAAATACAATGTAGCAATATCTCTATATTAATATTTTATACATTATTTTGTCTAAATTCACATTAATTTATCAACACATAAGTATTTATACTTTTCAACAATATATAACAAAATAAATTCTAAAAGTTGATGAAAGTAATAAAAATTTTTTCGAAAAATAATTATTATTAGTTTACGAAATCATTTAAGGGACTTGATTACATACACTAACGAATCCAGGATTGAATTTTGAAAGAAAAATATGTAAATTAACTACCTCTATGAAATGGTATTTAGTAGTGTTGACAAAAATCAGTTTGCAACCAAGGCCGCCTAACTGTTGCAAGACCAAGACCAGGACTGGTAAAAAAAATGATTTTTGAATACAAATTAAAACAAAATAGTTACCAATACTTGGCAATCTTAATTAATATACGTAAATAATTAGTACAACCAATATACTTTTGCATTTAACTCCTCTAAGTGTTCATTCGGGCTTAGTTAGATTACTCCTGTCTAAAAAATTACAGTAGTATTTCTACAGTAATAAGTTAATAAGTAACTGCAAGACTGTTGCGAGACTCTCGCACAAGACTAAGACTCGTTTCGGTCTTGCATTTGGGCAACACTAGTATTTAGGTAGGTTTAGAAGTCCTGTTTAATGTAATTATACGAAGAATAATACATTTAGATATAATGCCTTAATATTTTTTTCATAAGACATGATTATATTTAACCATTGGGGGAGGGAGGTGGGAGCTTCAGCTCAAAAGCCCCCAAAAAAGATTCGCCAGTGATTACATACAGAATAACGTTTAAAATATTTTATGTTTTATGTTTGTATGTAAGTATATAAGCGTTAATTTATATGTAATAAAGTCCCTTAAATAATTTTCGTAAATTTATAATGATTTTTTTTATTATTTTCGTGAAATTCTAGAATTTATTTTGTTATAATTTTTGAAAATATAATTATACACACACACATATAAAGCATATATTTATATGCTATGCTTTGTCGCCAGAGAGCAGTTGTCTCTGTATGAACCTATTTGCAATATATAATAAACGGAAGTATAAGATTATTTTTTTTCATGGTTAATAAAATTTTTTTTTTTATACTTGTGCCACTATCAAATCAAAGAATCAACTTGAAGATAAAAATGATTGAACAAAATTAAAATATTCAAATAAAAATGAAGAAGGTTGTTAGTAATAGAGAGAAAGAATAAAATCTAATAATAAAGGACATGTATAAGGAGAGGAATAAAACTACACTATATTAAATTAAAGAATATACCAAAACACAAAAAAAATTCAATATATTTATTCTTAAAAATTATTCTTAACAATGCATAAACGTTTTTCAGTCAAAATACTTCATTCGTTTGAACGTTTTTTTATCAGTTCAATGCTACGGGCTATGTCAGAATGTCAAGCAGAAAGATATTTTTCGACGAAATCGATCAAATCTTCCCCTAACTTCTCGGTGATACCATCTTCTAAAAACATATCCATCTGGAACCCTTCTTTACCTCTCGTCTCCAACATAATATCTAAGTCAAAAGTATTTGTCCCCTCTTTAGCCGTAAGACCTGAGTACCAGCAGACAAACGAACATATTCCGAAGAACGATACCCTTTCCATGGCGGCTTCCAGTCCATTCAAGGTAGGTCTAGTCCCTTTGAAGCCATAAATATCCAAATATTTAATCAATGCCTCAAAGTAGGATTCCAACAACAGTTTGTAGTTCTTGCGACGCAGCTTGGGCTGTAGGCTCAAGTAGATGAAGTTGCTGATATCTGCACAGGGAGTGTTGTAGTTCGAAAACTGGAAGTCCACGAACCTGTGCATCAATAAAGTGATAGTAAAAATATAAATTTTACTAATATGCTTCCTTATGGTTTAATAAATCAGGTAAGTTATTTTTCTGTTTTTTTACTATTGTATTAATTATTACCTTAACGAATGAGGTTTCCCTTGCCAATCATATTTGAACATGATGTTATTAGTCCAGCAGTCTCCATGGTTGAGGCAAACGAAGTCTTCCTCAGTGTACATACTGCAGGAGTTCATTTTCTCGAAGAAAACATCCGACGGTATGTCTAGCTTTGAAGCGACCCTCGCCCTGTAAAAGAATATTTCAATAATTGATGGATTTATCGATACTGAAAACTAATATCGATTTCCACGCTGCAAAAGACTATAACAGCAGTTTTATTATAAAATATACTTTCAGCTTTTTGGGCTAAGCAAAAATACAAACCAAAAATATTTAAAATCTTAATTTCATAATAAAAAATACTCTGTTCCTTGTTTGTTTATTTAGGCTTTAAGGCGTAAAACCCTAGGATCATCAACGCCTATGAGTCGATTATATTTGTAAACTCTTTAGAGGAAAATTAATAATTAACAATAGATATAGTAATAAAAAAGAAAGAACAATAAAATTAAAATTATATTTATTTTTATATTTTATTTAACAGTCTATGTATTTTAAGAAATTGTATCACCGTTCCTATGTTTGATTCGTTGTTGTTTAATACCGCTGATATATCCGGTTTTAGAGACAATCGATTTAGGCTTGAAGTATAATAAGGGCATTCTTGGAAAATATGGTTGACTGTGAGAAGGCTATTGCAGTGCTGACAATTTGGTGGTGGCTGCTTAGTGATGAGATGTACATGGGTTAGGTTCGTGTGTCCTATTCTTAACCTGGCCACGGCGACCTCCTCTCTACGATTAGAGCGGTTTGATGTGATCCAAGGCTTCACTGATTTTTTAACAGCTTTTAATTTGCTAGGTGGGCTTTCGGCCACATAGATTGCCAACTATCCAATATTTCTTTTTCGTAAGGAAAACTCATTTCTGAAGGGGTCAGGATAGGAGTACCTCGGTGTGGAAGCGCGAGTGCCTGTCTGGCTGCCGTATCCGCAAGCTCATTACCAACTATACCCACGTGACTTGGAACCCATATAAACTGGATGTTTTGAGCTTTAATGAACTCAAGGAGTCGGTTATCAAGACTATTGAGGCTGGAGTCATTGACAAACAGAAGTGGAGGGCTGAGGCTATTGCGTGAAGTTCCGTTGTGTATATGCTGCTTAGTTTATGTAGTTTTATTTTATGAGTTATGGATAACAAACGAACAAGCTGTAGCATTATCGGATTTCGAACCATCAGTGTAAATTAAAAATGGATCCGGAATATTTTGTAGCGGACGGGGAAATTCGGTTTTGTACTCGTAATGTGGGCATTGCTTTTGAATAATCGAGAGAGACGGAGCATCATTTTTGGGGGTTTGTGGATCCAAGGTGGGTTTTGGTTTTTTATATTGAATAAAAGTATGTTCCGGGATTTAGCTGCTGAATAAATTGTTTCTGACAGTGGGAGTGTGAAATTGGTTTTGTTTCTAAAAGCGTTTGAAAATTTAGGTTTGAAAATGT